TTAATATCTTCTGATAGGAACCCATAACTAAATTGGTTACTGGTTCAATAACAAGGAAGGGACCAAAAAATTACTTTTTACAATAAATTTCAAATTTTAGATCCGCTCTTGATAGAGTGAAAATCGGTTGAGGAAAAAAAAATGGAGTTATAATAATCAAAAGGGAAAAGGTCCAAATTTGCCCGTGTAATATCTAAAATTTGCATAATTTGGTCTATTCATACACTTGTCATAAGCATAATCGTTGTATCCTAATTATGTGAGGAAAAAAGGTTCAAATTTACACCTCAATCTTTAATATGCTTACTCTTAAATTGGAATTGGTTAGGGTTCAAGGGCAACAATGAGACTTTTCCCTAATAGGAGAGGAAATATGTATTAGACCAAAAGTTTAACGAATGACAAAATTGTTCAATTTCAAATAGTACTAAGACAATTTGACCCATTTTCCTAAACCACTTAGGTATTATAGTTTTATTAAAATGGAGAGTAACCCTTTCATTGGGGTGACTTACAAAACATTAGTTGGAGCAGTATAACGTCTTTGTTCTTTATGCGTTGATCTAAACTTGCAGGTAAAAATTAAACTCTTCAAGATGCAACAAGCTAACATCTGGAATGGCATCTGCATAACTAATATTTTTTTTTTATTATAAGAAACAGACGTTTGCCATGACTGATAATTGATTTTTGTTACAGGAATATCAGATGAAGAGTATAATTCCATCTCAAATCAGCTTTCCTTTTTTCAAGAATGATGATTTTTCTATAACGAGGGAGGGAGTGTGCCATTGATGAAGGATGAGAACATGGTCAATGCACGACCAGGTTGATAGCTTGGCACGAAATGTCCAGCTCCTCTTACCGTCACAAATGTCAAGTTGTCGTATTCCACTGCATAACCACCAACCTTGAAAGAAAAAAATGATATATTATCAATTACATACATGATATTCTTGGAACAGAGTATTGTAATGGTACAAGTGAAGAAGTATAATGACCACTTCGTTACCTCGCCTTGGAAGTACCAAGAGTACCACGGTGTTTTCACTGGTGTCTTGATTTTGTTTATATCATATCTAGTCGTTGTTACAGGCAAAACACTATCTGTATCTCCGCTGTAAAATCATGAGAAAGTGTTACTTACTGAACTGCTACATTTTCAGAAGGAGTAGTTTTTATCGTGAGTTCTTCCTATCTTCCCCCCTGTACTTACCTATATATCCAAACCCTAATTCCACTTTGCATGAGCTCTTGAAAGACCGGTAGAACAGTATACGGAGAGTCCTTCCAATGCAAGTGTGAACTGCAGAAGTGAGAATTGAAGCAAATTTAAGCCAAGAAGAAAAAAGATCAGCTTTTCCAATTTGAAGCGAAAATGCTATTTAAAATATCACGGTATGTATTACGCGCAAGGAGCCCAGGAATATGGTATTCTTCTGACATTAAGTGCCTTTTGTACTTCAGCAGAGTTTAGGTAAGAGTTTACATAATTGTCTGAGCATGGATCAAATCCACATACCTGTTTTAAACAAAAGAAAAAAGTTAGAAATCTAATAAACGCATGTAAAATCTGCAGAGGTGTGCTAGTTGAGGCGTTGGATGATGTTGTACAGACCCTACTTGATTGATCAGATCTTGAAATGTGCATTTTATGATATTGCGGGTGTGCATGCTAGAGAAATGGGGGATGAAAACATCCGAACTGTAGAATAAGAAGCAGGTTTATACAGCTGTTGTATCTAATAAAACATTTTACTTGTGACACTTAATGTTCATTTATTTACACAACCAGCAATAGTAAATGAAAATCTTCTCAAGAACAACAAATGAGCAGTTAGCCAGTTCAGAACTTACGGGAAGTGAAGTATTGGCATTGGGGTCGCACAGTGGGGCATAAATGTCATAGGCATATATGTTTCCTAGAGATGAATCTGCTTGCTTAATGTACACATTACAAGCTTCTGAGGTTGTCTCTGCTGAGAAGTTGCAATTCTTGACAATTCCATCATGGACTTCATCTGATATTAGTGCATGTGTCCAATAAAAGTCATATGAACCACTCTGCATTGCTTCAAAGTCTAGGAGGGCATTCCCTGTCTGAAAAAAAGATCACATCACTATGCAAATAAGATAATAGTAGTGACTTAATCAGGAGGAAGAATATGTAATTATCATTTTGAATAAGCTTAATTAGCTTACAGCTATTCCTTGCAAGTTAATAACAAGGTTGGGCTCTGTTTTCCTGTGGGATAAGATCAGCTGAGCAAGTTGAGGCACATAGTGGCCAGCATAACTTTCTCCAACAATATAGAAATCTCGATGTTTATATTCTGGGAATCTTTCCATCCAATTGAGGAGAAAGGTGAAACTGTCTTGTCTAGTTTTTTCGTCTCCAGTAATATAATCTGCTGATGTATTAGAGTAAGAGAATCCAACACCAGCTGGTGATTCTAAAAAGAGGATGTTCGCCACTGCATTAATGTCAAAAAGGTACCATAGTTACACCCAAATGACGACAGATTTTTCTAGCTTAAGAAAGAGGTAATTAAGTACCATTGTTCCATGCAAATTGGTTCAGCCATAACGTTTTCCCATCATTATTAACGCGGAATGGCCCAAGTTCATCCATTGCCCCAGCCCCTAATGAAGAGCAACCAGGCCCTATATACCAATTACATACAAAAACAACAAAGGAAACATGATAAGCTAACTCATAATAACACAGTAAATCCCAAGGCAAGAAAAATATGAGATTAAACTCTTACTAGGTTTGAATGAAACAAGCTAGCGTTAGAAATTAAAACATTCCTCCTCTTGGCAATTCGGGTAAGATGGGTGTGGTGTGTGTGTTTACCTCCATTTAGCCACAAAACGAGAGGCTTTGTCGAAGGGTCACCAGATGATTCAGCCAAATAATAGAACAAGGCTCTACCAGCATTTGCATCAACAGTAACATATCCTGCATATTGATTAAACCTGACTGCACTACTTGGTTGCTCTGGCAGTGCTGAGATCTTATCATTTTCCTTCGATCCTTCCTGTGGCACTATGAGTTCTGACACTGATCTCTGTTTCTCGGAAGCCGGTAGGCCGTGGTTAATAATACTTCTTGTTTTTGCCCATCGGGTCTTGAGAAATTCACGTAGAACATCCGCTTCTCCTGCATAACAATATTGTTGGGCACTTAGGCAGCACAAAATTAGAGAAAGAGTTAAAACAGAGTTAGCTTTCATTTTCTTCCTACTCAAGCAAGAACAAGCAACGTTGAGTGATAACTCAAGGATAATTCTTCTTCATTATTTATAAAGTAAGCAAAACACTGAGAATTTTGTGATGCTTTTTTCTTTTACTGGAATTGAATCCGTGGTAGTGACATCTTTGTCCTTTATTTCATTGGTTAAATGTCACACAAAATTAAGGATATATAGTAAGGATGGTTTGTTGGCTTCAATTTCATGTTGTTCTCGAACAGCCAGAAATTAGAAAAGGTAGTTCAGAATGAAATCAAAGACAACATTGAATAGTTAACTAAAAAGAGAAACTTATGGTCTAGGCTTTTCAAGTATGATTATGAGGGTTGCAGACAGCTAGACTTGTGTCTTTTCATCATATTAACTGATGATACTTGATAGCTATCATACTAATTCTAAAAGATCATGTTTTTTTGTCTTTCTTAATCTGATTTAAAGCAACAGTGCTGTCATTTAGTTTTATTTCGAACCTATAACTCCCTAATTTTCTTCCATGTATTTACAGGATGGACTTCGACTTGTGAATATCAAGAGAAGTATGGTTTTTAAAATTATTTGAAGAAATTCTAGGATAAAATGCAACAGGATGACACCCTCCACCTAAAAAGGGAAGAGCCCAGACAATATCCTTTGTTAAAGTGTGAAAAAAGTTCAAATGTCATTAATTTACCTACAAGTTTGATGTAAATTTGTCTATTTTTCCAACTATAATCGACAGAGGACACTAATTCAATTTCATGATTAGGGGTGTTGTGGTTGTTTCTGTTCAAATTAGCAATCCTACTTTATATGTTGGGTTTGTTACAAATTCTGTTATCTTTCTCATTATTGTATTTCCAAAAGATGCATCGGCACTCACTGTTATCTAAATAGCGTTCAAATTCGTCAATGTCACTTTCAATTGCAATTATTAACCACTATTCATATAATATTAGGATAACAAATGTAGATAGATAATTGTATCTGGAGGTGGCAAATTTGACTAATGAACATGTAACTCGCCCAATTTGGGTATGTTAACGGGTCAATTAATCAACCCGTTCATAGAAAACGAGAGAATGACGAGAAGAAGTAGATCGCCGAACCTCAACGACATTGTAGAAGAAACAGTCCATCCACAACGGCGGTGGGCGGTGGCATTCTCCTTCGCCGGAAGCCGGCGAGGACAGCTCAGTGCGTTACTCCAGCGGGCCAACCTCCAAGCCATGGAATCTTTTTGACTCCTCTGTAATAACCCTCACTCACGAGACATGGATAACCTGAAAATTGCGGAGGCCAGAGAGAGAGCATAAGGTTTGGTATTACTAGCATACAACATATAAGCTAATAATACAGGGATATGTTATGAGACGAAGATGAAATAGTTATAATTAAAGATTTGTCGGAAAGAGATATTTTTATTAAATGGCAAGAATAACTAGGTCAAATAAATTAAAATGTACGAAGTATAATGTTAGATTTGCAACTTATTAAATATAATATATAAGTTATGAGGGAATTGAGGTATTTTTTTATGTGGTCTAAAATATTGAATAATTAATACATGCATTATTATACTCGCATAATTTTAACCATACAGAGTACTAATTTAAACATTTAGAAAATTTGATGAAGACATATGAACGGCATCAGAAACCCTTCAATTTTAACATTTCATATATTTAAGTTAACATACAGAAAGGAACCATAAGCCCTCTCATGCTCGAATACAAACAATAAAACAGTAATGAAATAACTAGTTAATTCTACAAAATTTATTCCATATGAAACCAGCAATCCCTTTTTCACAATGTATCTTCTGTTTAATTGAAACCAGGAGGGAGTGTCCCGTTGATGAAGGATGAAAACATGGTCAATGCACGGCCAGGTTGATAGCTTGGCACGAAATGTCCTGCTCCACGTACTGTCACGAATGTCAAGTTCTGGTATTCTACTGCGTAACCACCAACCTGGATATATGAAATACTTCATTCATATTCATACTGGATACTATTAAGAAACTGTAGAGTTAAAGATCGAAATGAATAATGACAACTTGGTTAATTACCTCCCCTTGGAAGAACCACGGGTACCATGCAGTTTTGATTGGTGTTTTGATTTTGTCGATACCATATCTACTTGTCGTTACAGGCAAAATATGATCTATGTCTCCGCTAGAAAAGAAGATGAAAAGGGGCTTGATAAGAAAATGTTGGTATTTGTTTTGGGATTGTTAAGTTTTCAGTATTAATTTTATGGTGACTGATTCCAGCTTGTTTGATTTACTTACCTATAAATCCAAACTCTAATGCCACTTAGCATGAGCTCTTGAAAGATTGGTAGAACAGTATGTGGGGAGTCTTCCCAAGAGATGTCACTGCACAAGTTTAAAATGTTTAAGAAAGTGATCAAATTAATCGAAAAAAGGGATCAGCAATTTCAATTTGAAGAATTAAAATGTTTAAAAACTCACAGTATCAATTACCTGCAAGATTCCCAGGATTGGGGTATATCTCTGACATTGAGTGCCTTTTGCACGTCAGCAGTGTTTAGGTAATTAAATACGTAATCAGCTGAGCATGGATCAAATCCATCTATCTGTTATGATACACAAAAGAAAAAGTTATGCTACAGATTATTGCTTGTAATTTGGCCGTAGAATGCTGTTGTTCATGGTCTTTTATTTCACTTTCACCTTAATTTGTGACACTGAAATTTTTGAATTGTGGTATATAAACACGGAGAAGGAATGAGAAGTTAGCGAGTGGAACTTACAGGAAGGGAAGTATAGGCAGAGGAGTTGCAGAGTTGGGAATATGTGTTATAACTATATATATTGGCTTGACATGAATGTGCTTCGCTTGTGTACTGATCACAAGCTTCTGAGGTAGTCGTTTCTGTTGAGAAGTTGCAATTCTTGACAATTCCTTCATGAACTTCATCTGATATTAGTGCGTGTGACCAATAAAAGTCGTATGAACCACTGTATGAAGTTTCATCGTCCAGGAGGGCATTTCCTGTCTGAAAATCATGCCATATGCAAATTAATAAGATAGTATTGTGACTCCAAAAAGGAGGAAAAAAGAATTGTCATTTGAACAAGTTTAATTAGCTTACAGCTATTCCTTGCAAGTTAATAACAAGGTTGGGTTCTGATTTCTTGTGGGATAAGATCAGCTGAGCGAGTTGGGGCACGTAGTGGCCGGCATAACTCTCCCCAACAATGTAGAAATCGCGGTTTTTATATTCTGGGAATCTTTCCATCCAATTGATGAGAAAGGTAAAACTGTCTTGTCTAGTCTTTTCGTCTCCACTAGTATAATCTGATGATGTATTAGAGTAAGAGAATCCAACACCAGCTGGTGATTCTAAAAACAGGACATTTGCCACTGCATAATTATAGTCACAAAAATGTCATTATTATTTATAGGTATCTGAATTTTTTTCTCAGTAGTGATGATAGATTTCGCTATTAAGTACCATTGTTCCAGGCAAATTGATTGAGCCACAAGGTTTTCCCGTCTTTATTGACACGGAATGGTCCAAGTTCCACCATCCCTCCATTTCCGAATGAAGAGCAACCAGGTCCTATCAAATTCATACAGAAGTACCCTTACAACTTGTGATTTTAAACATACGATGACAATTTGATTTATGTCTATGAGAGCTATCATGAGGGGTAAAATGGTATGTATGAAAATTTGATTTTAATGTGTATTTACCTCCATTTAGCCACAAAACAAGGGGCTTTGTAGTAGGATCAGCAGACGATTCTGCCAAGTAATAGAAGAGGGCTCTACCATTATCAGCATTAACAGTCACATATCCTGAATATTGAGCAAAATTGATCCCACTTGGTTGCCCTGGCAATGCCGATATCTTGTCATTTTCCTTTGATCCTACCTGTGGCACTTTGAATTCTGACACTGATTTCTGTTTCTCAGCAACCGCTACACCGTGGCTAATAACATTTGTTGGTTTTACCCGTCGAGCCTTGAGAAATTCGCGTAGAACATCTACTTCCCCTGCGTAACATTGTTGGGCACTTAGGTAGCAAAAAATTAGAAAAAGACTTAAAACAGAGGAAATATTCATTCTCTTCCTTCCTGATTCAATGAAACAAGAAATGGTGAGTGATAACTCTTCTGTAATACTTATATAGTGCATGCAAAATGTTGAGAAGGTCGTCAGATATATTTTCTTTTACTCAAATTGGACTAACATCGTTTGTCATTTGTGCTCTTTGGTTAAAACGCCAATCCCATTTAACAGCTATGACTTGTTCCTTAATAAGTTGTTTCCTCACCATTAACCATCCTTTGCTTTCATCACCGTCAATAATTATTACCTCCACTAATCATTATAGATAATTATCATCATTGATCAACATTATATATAGCTAACCATCATCATCATTTCGCTTCTAATTATCAATTGCTACCATCAACAACCACAATTAATCAGCATTGTCAATCACTATGCCATAAGATATTATCTGCAATCACCATCATTTGTCAACACCATCTTTGACACATACAATTGCTTCCATCACCAAGTGTCATATAATTTTTTTAAAAATATTTTATGGATATAATATTATATCAATTTAGTTTTTATTTAAATTTAAATTTATTATTTTTTAAACAAATGGTGTTAACTATTTAGTAATATGTGCATTAAGATTAAAAAAATTTAAATTTAACAAAATAAATGAGGCTCAAATATAGGAGAGCAAAAAGTTGTTCCTGTTTATAATTGTTTGTTTATAGTAACGGCTCATTAATTTTGTATTTTCCTTCTAATTAATTTTCTCAAGTTTTTTCCCAAAATATATCGCGCGCTTCTGTTCATATTTAGCGCGAACAGTTTAGCCACCAAATTTACTCAATTCGGTCCGTTGCGTAAATACTTCCTCGTGATTTAGAAATTTTGTCATTCTGTTGTGCTTTTCTGATTAAATTTTTTTCAATTTCTTCATATTCATGGAAGGATCGATGAAGCCGGTGGAAACAAAATTGTGTGTTTGTGTTTTTCTTATTGAGAGATTTGTGTTTAATTTTGATCAATTTTGTTGAGGCAAGGGTTAGGGTTTATGAATGTTATTTTTAAGTTACAGTAGAATAAAATTTGTGAAAGTTTGTTTCTTTAGATGCTTCTTTTGCAATTGAATTCGATCTTAAGAATATGAAGGGTTGAACGATATAAGTTGTGATATAACCCAGAGAGTAGCTGAAGAAAAAACTCAAAGAAGAATGGGTAGAGTATAGGTCATTGTTAAGCTTCACTAGATATTGTTGCATTATTCGATCCATAATAGAGTATTTGTTTTGCTGTGGGGAAGGAAGAATGCATCTTCTGTTTAATGGAAACCAGGAGGGAGTGTGCCATTGATGAAGGACGAGAACATGGTCAATGCACGGCCAGGTTGATAGCTTGGCACGAGATGTCCTGCTCCTCTGACCGTCACGAATGTCAAGTTCAGGTATTCCACTGCGTAACCACCAACCTGGAGATATGAAATACTTAATTCATATTCATAATTGATAATATCGGAAATTAAGAAATTGTAGAGTTGAAGATCAAAAGTAATAATGACAACATCGTTGATTACCTCCCCATGGAAGGACCACGGGTACCATGCCGTTTTGACTGGTGTTTTGATTTTGTTGATAGCATATCTACTTGTCGTTACAGACAAAATATGATCTATGTCTCCACTGGAAAAGAAGAAGACGAGGGGCATGATCAGAAAATGTTATTTGTTTCGGGATTGCTAAAGTTTTCAGTATTAGTTTTATGGTGACTGATTCCAGCTTTTTTTTATTTTACTTACCTATAAATCCAAACTCTGATGCCACTTTGCATGAGTTCTTGGAAGATTGGTAGAACAGTATCGGGAGAGTCTTGCCAATAGCCGGCTATGTCAGTACTGCACAAGTGAGAATTGAAGCAAGTGATCAAATTAATCGAAAAAAGGATCAGCAATTTCAATTTGAAGAATTAAATTGTTTTAAAAAAATCACAGTATCTATTTACCTGCAAGATTCCCAGGAATGGGGTATATCTCTGACATTAAGTGCCTTTTGCACTTCAATAGTGTTTAGGTAATTGTCTACGTAATCATTTGAGCATGGATCAAATCCATCTATCTGTTATCATACACAAAAGAAGAGGTTATGCTATAGATAATTGCTTGTAATTTGGGCGTAGAATGCTGTTGAGCATGGTCTTTTATTTTACTTTTGACTTTATTTGTGACACTTAAGATGTTGAATTATTTAGATTGGTATAAACACCGGGAACAAATCATGAGTTAACCAGTGGAACTTACAGGAAGGGAAGTATAGGCAGAGGAGTTGCAGAGTTGGGAATATGTGTTATAACTATATATATTGGCTTGACATGAATCTGCTTCGCTTGTGTACTTGTCACAAGCTTCTGAGGTAGACGTTTCTGTCGAGAAGTTGCAATTCTTGACAATTCCTTCATGGACTTCATCTGATATTAGTGCATGCGTCCAATAAAAGTCGTATGAACCACTATTCCATGTTTCATCGTCCAGGAGGGCATTTCCAGTCTGAAAGTCATGTCATATGCAAATAAGATAACATTAGTGTCCTAGTCAGTATTAAAAGAAGGTAAATATCATTTAATTAGCTTACAGCTATTCCTTGCAAGCTGATGACAAGGTTGGGTTTTGTTTTCTTGTGAGATAGGATTAACTGAGCAAGTTGAGGTACGTAGTGACCAGCATAACTCTCCCCAACAATGTAGAAATCGCGGTGTTTATATTCTGGAAATCTTTCCATCCAATTGACGAGAAAGGTGAAACTGTCTTGTCTAGTTTTTTTGTCTCCAGTAGTATAATCTGATGATGTATTAGAATAAGAGAATCCAACACCAGCTGGTGATTCTAAAAACAGTACATTTGCCACTGCATAATCATAGTCAGAAAAATGTCATTGTTATTTATAGATTTTTGATTATTTTTTTCCTGTACTGCTGATAGATTTTTGCTATGAAGTACCTTTGTTCCAGGCAAATGGGTTGAGCCACAAAGTTTTTCCATCTTCATTGACGCGGAATGGTCCAAGTTCCACCATCCCTCCATTTCCAAACGAAGAGCAACCAGGTCCTATCAAATTCATCAAAAAGTACCCTTTAGAACTTGTGGTTTTTAACATACTATGACAATTTGATTTGTGTGTGTATTTACTTGCCTCCATTTAGCCACAAAAGAAGAGGCTTGGTAGAAGGGTCATTAGGTGATTCTGCCAAGTAATAGAACAAAGCTCTACCAGCATTAGCATCAACAGTAACATATCCTGAATATTGTGCAAAATTGATCCCTTTTGGTTGGCCTGGCAATGCCGAGATCTTGTCATTTTTCTTTGATCCTGCCTGTGGCACTAAGAATTTTGACACTGATCTCTGTTTCTCAGCAACAGCTAGGCCTTGGCTAACAACATCTCTTGTTTTTGTCCGTCGAGCCTTGAGAAATTCACGTAGAACATCTGCTTCCCCTGCGTAACACTGTTGGGCACTTAAGTAGCACAAAATTAGAAAAAGAGGTAAAACAGAGGAAATGTTCATTCTCTTCCTTCCCAATTCAATGAAACAAGAAATGGTGAGTGATAACTCTTAATTTTTTATATTGCCTACGCAAAACGTTGAGAAGGTCATCAGATATATTTTCTTGTACTCAAATTGGACTAACATCTTTGTCATTTATTCTCTTTGGTTAAAAAGCCATAGGCATTTAACAGCTGCTATGTCTTGTTCCTTAATAAGTTGTTTCGATCAGTCGGGGAATTGATAAATTTAGGTACTCGTACTACTAAATCTTAAGGAGATTGATGGCTTTCATTTTTGGTGTCATTGTCGATGATCAGACGGAAATGGTTCAAGAAAATAGAGAGCGAAGATGAGTATTATACTGACAGTGTATATAACTTATTACTCCATTAAATACTCCTAGTTCAACTTCCATCGATGACGTGCACCATTTAATTACCTTGAGATGGAGAGTATTACTCCTTTCTATCTTTTATACACTCGGGGGTGGTTTGGTTGACCAGGTCATAAGAAATACTAGGTTCGTTTGGTAGCAAACAAGTTATTCCGAAATTAATTATTACATGATAAGTTATTTATGAAATAGCTTATCTCATTACCAAAATATAAATGGTGGTATAAATAATTCAATAATTACCTAATACCTCCAACCAAATGCAGAATAAAATGCACTTGGAAATTATTATATCTTTTGATTGGCCTTATTAAACTATGTATTGGCTAATATCTACAAACTTGAAGTTATATAAGAGTCTGTGCATTATTTTGTGCGAAATAGAATATGAAGTAAGAATCTTAGCATTACATTGAACAGAGTCAATATTAAAGACAAAAAAAGTTGTTAAAATAAACAATCTCAAAATAACAATCCCTACAGCTACTATATCATTTATTGCGGAAGTAATTTATTCAGCATAACTAAATGTTCGTTAAACCAAACCACACAACGAAAATACATCAAAGTGAAAGGAAAACTTGCTATTCATATAATACAGGGGCGGAGCCAAGGTGTTCGTTGGAAAATCACACGTTGTGTAAAATGTCAAATCAGCTATTTATGAATACAAAATACATATTGAACCCCCTTGTCACAACTGATAAATGTTGGCTCAATGGTTTCAAATTCATTTTCATGTTGTGGGTTCAACAATTTTTAAAATGACTCGATAGAGTAGGGCAAAAGTAGAAAGAAACGTTAAATGAGACATGACTAAACAAGTTAAACATTTTATAAATTTTAATTTGAAATACAAAAGACACCATAAAAGTTAAAATCCCTCTCATGCTTGAATACAAACCATAAAACAGTAATGTAATAACTAATTAATTCTATTCCATATGAAACCATTAGTCCTTTTTTCACAATCTGTTTAATCGAAACCAGGAGGGAGTGTCCCATTGATGAAGGATGAGAACATGGTTAATGCACGGCCAGGTTGATAGCTTGGCACGAAATGTCCTGCTCCACGCACTGTCACGAAGGTCAAGTTCTGGTACTCTACTGCGTAACCACCAACCTGGAAATATGAGATACTTAATTCATATTCATACTGGAAATTAAGAAACTGTTAGAGTTGAAGATTGAAATGAATAATGACAACTTGGTTAATTACCTCCCCTTGGAAGAACCACGGGTACCATGCCGTTTTGACTGGTGTTTTGATTTTGTCGATACCATATCTACTTGTAGTTACAGGCAAAATATGATCTATGTCTCCGCTGGAAAAATAAAAAAGGACGAAGCAGAGTGTTTTGAGCTAAGAGCCTAGCAGACAAATTTATTATTATAGTGACTACCTAATTCCTTGCTTGATTTACTTACCTATATATCCAAACCCGAATACCACTTTGCATGAGCTCTTTGTAGATTGGCAGAACAGTATCTGGGGAGTCTTGCCAAGAGCCGTGTATGTAACCACTGCACAAGTGATCAAATTAAACCCAAAAAGAGAGGGGGAAAAGGTCAGTATTTTGAAGAATTAAAATGTTGAAAAACATCTACCTGCAAGATTCCCAAAAATGGGGTATATCTCTGACATTAAGTGCCTTCTGTACTTCAGCTGTGTTTAGGTAATTGTCTACGTAATCAGGTGAGCATGGATCGAATCCATCTATCTGTTATGATGTACAAAAGAAGAAGTTATGCTATAGATTGTTTGTAATTTGAGCGTAGAATGTTGTTGTGCATGATCTTTCTTTTTCACTCAGTTAGTCAGTGACACTATTAATTAGATTGGTATAGACACCACGAACGAAAGCAGTTAGTCAGTGGAACTTACAGGAAGTGAAGTATAGGCAGAGGAGTTGCAGAGTTGAGAGTATGTGTTATAATCATATATATTGGCTTGACATGAATCTGCTTCGCTTGTGTACTGATCACAAGCTTCTGAGGTAGACGTTTCTGTCGAGAAGTTGCAATTCTTGACAATTCCTTCATGGACTTCATCTGATATTAGTGCGTGCGTCCAATAAAAGTCGTATGAACCACTATTCCATGTTTCATCATCAAGGAGAGCATTTCCAGCCTGAAAATCATGTCATATGCAAATAAGATAACATTAGTGGCCTAGTCAGTATTAAAATAAGGTAAATATCATTTGAACAAGTTTAATTAGCTTACAGCTATTCCTTGCAAGTTAATGACAAGGTTGGGTTCTGTTTTCTTGTGAGATAAGATTAGCTGAGCAAGTTGAGGTACATAGTGACCAGCATAACTCTCCCCAACAATGTAAAAATCGCGGTTTTTATATTCTGGGAATCTTTCCATCCAATTGATGAGAAAGGTGAAACTGTCTTGTCTAGTCTTTTCGTCTCCGGTAGTATAATCTGATGATGTATTAGAATAAGAGAATCCAACACCAGCTGGTGATTCTAAAAACAGGACATTTGCCACTGCATAATTAGTCACAAAAATACCATTGTTATTTATAGATTTCTGTATTATTTTTTTCTCAGTAGTGATGATAGATTTTGCTATTAAGTACCATTGTTCCAGGCAAATTGATTGAGCCACAAGGTTTTCCCATCTTTATTGACACGGAATGGTCCAAGTTCCACCATCCCTCCATTTCCGAATGAAGAACAACCAGGTCCTGTCAATAAATACATATGGTCCTAAGGTTAGGTTCGAAAGACAATTCTAGTGAATTAACGTGGCGTGATGTGTGTATTTACTTGCCTCCATTTAGCCACAAAACAAGAGGCTTTGTAGTAGGATCAGCAAACGATTCTGCCAAGTAATAGAAGAGGGCTCTACCATTATCAGCATTAACAGTCACATATCCTGAATATTGAGCAAAATTGATCCCACTTGGTTGCCCTGGCAATGACGATATCTTGTCATTTTCCTTTGATCCTACCTGTGGCACTTTGAATTCTGACACTGATTTCTGTTTCTCAGCAACCGCTACACCGTGGCTAATAACATTTGTTGTTTTTACCCGTCGAGCCTTGAGAAATTCGCGTAGAACATCTACTTCCCCTGCGTAACATTGTTGGGCACTTAGGTAGCAAAAAATTAGAAAAAGACTTAAAACAGAGGAAATATTCATTCTCTTCCTTCCTGATTCAATGAAACAAGAAATGGTGAGTGATAACTCTTCTGTAATACTTATATAGTGCATGCAAAATGTTGAGAAGGTCGTCAGATATATTTTCTTGTACTCAAATTGGACTAACATCTTTTGTCATTTGTGCTCTTTGGTTAAAACGCCAATCCCATTTAACAGCTATGACTTGTTCCTTAATAAGTTGTATTAATCACTCCGGGAATTGATAAAAGGAAGTACTCGTACTAATCTATCTATTCTATATTCTATTCTATACTACTTAAAAAAGTATGAACTCCTCAAATGAATGTTGAATTACTATAATACCCCCAATTAAAAATACTCAATTTGTTTTATTTATTAATTTAATTATTTGTATTATATGAAATGTAAATACCCTTTCATATTAAAGGATTGTGATTTTCTCAAAGAAATGTGACTTTTCCAAAGGGTTTCAATTTTTTGACAGGTTTTGATATTTTCGATGAGTTTTGACTTTTTTGAAAGGTTGTGATTTTTTCAAAAGGTTGTGACTTTTCTGAAGGGTTGTGCCTTTTCCGATGAGACTTTTTGACGGGTTTTGACATTTTCGACGAGTTCTGACTTTTCCGAAAGGTTGTGATTTTTTCAAAGGATTGTGATTTTTCCGAAGGGTTGTGCCTTTTTCGATGAGTTGTGACTTTTGCAAAAGATTGTGATTTTTTCGATGAGTAGTGACTTTTACAAAAGGTTGTAACTTTTCTGATAAGGAACAATTAGCATCTATTAATACTACTATTTGTTAGCTATAAATAGAGGGTATCCTCTCACTTTTAAACTACAGTTTTACAAAGTTGTCTACTCTTCTTCTTCTTCTTAAAAAATCCAAAGGTTATTTGTAACAGTTGATTAAGTTAAAAATTTAACGAAATTTGAGGTATCAAATAAGAAAGAGTTGTACAAAAAATTGTAGCAAATCATTCATAAATTCAACTCGTATATTTTCTTACGATTTCCATGAGTTAACAGTGACGAAATGTTGTGGGAAAGATAATAATAATAAACAAATATAAATAAAGTCACACGATTTGTGTAAGATATTTCTTCTTTGGTTTTTTATTTGTTTTTGTTTACCCTCAAATAAAGCGGTTTCTTTTAGATTTTGCTAAAACACCGAGCATCAACGTAGTCCATTGAATCATTAGTTTTGATGTTAAATCCACTATTTCAAAAATAGATTTTCACTTTTACTTATAATATGATAATATAGACATGATAATAATTATTTTCAATAGATATATAAGTAAAAGTGAACGAAGAATGTAAAGTGTTGGTGACAAGAAATTTTAATCAAATAGAACTCTAAAGTGAATATAGCATGAACATATATTTTCGTCTTCCTTCTTCATTGGCTATGTATCGCTCCATATATTTTTTTTCCTATTATTTTGTGTTCATTTTAATTTGAGAAAATTTTATGTTTGACATTTTCGATGAGTTGTAACTTTTTTGAAAGGTTGTGATTTTTTTCAAACGATTGTGACTTTTTCGAAGGGTTGTGCCTTTTCCGATGAGTTGTGACTTTTGCAAAAGGTTGTAATTTTTTCGATGAGCAGTGACTTTTACGAAAGGTTGTAACTTTTCTGATAAGGAACAATTAGTACCTATTAATACTACTATTTGTTAGCTATAAATAGAGGGTTTTCTCTCACTTTTAAACTACGATTTTTAAAGTTTTCTACTCTTCTACTTCTTAAAAAAATCTCAGGGTTATTTGTAATAGTTGATTAAGTTTAAAATTCAATGAAATTTGAGGTACCACATAAGATGAAATTGGTGAACAAATTGTAGCAAATCATTCATAAATTGACACTCGTATTTTTTCTTACGATTTTCATGAGTTAACAGTGAGGAAATGTTGTGGGAAAGACAATAATAAAAAAAAATATATGAATAAAGTCACGTGATTTGGGTAAGATATTTCTTCTTTGGTTTTTTATTTTTTATTTTTTACCCTCAAATGAAGTAGTTTCTTTCTGATTTGGCTAAATCAATGAGCATTAACGTAGTTCATTGAATTATTAGTTTTGATGTTAAATTCACTATTTCAAAAATAGATTTTCACTATTACTTATAATATGATAATATAGACATGATAATAGATATATTTTTAATAGATATGTAAGTAAAAATAAACGAAGAAAGTAAAGTGTTGGTTACAAGAGATTTTAATCAAATAGAACTCTATTGTGAATATAGCATGAAACTATATTTTCGTTTTTCTTCTTCATTGACTATGTATCTTTTCATATATTTTTTCCTATTATTTTGTGTTCATTTAATTTGAGAAAATTTTAGGTCACATGATACACTCCTTGTTAGCTATATAAAAATAGATAAGTAAATAGTGATTGATCATAAAATAATCTTGATTCAAATTAAAGATTCTATAAACAATACTTAAATTTTATTCATCTATTAATTTTTATTATTGAAAAAGTTTAATATTTTATATCACAATACAACTTCTATAAGATACTAGATACTTTCATTAGACAACAACTATATGGTATGTATGCAGCAGGAAAAAGGAGAAGACTACAATTCTACAAAGATAAGGTAGAAATTTAAAGAAATGAAATATTTTTCACCAAAGGTGATGTTGTTCATATATTAAAACTAAATTATGCTACTTAAATATATATGTATATCTAAAAGAAAGAAATAGTCAAGCTAAATATTTGACATACACTCAAGCCTCAATTTAACCATCATTCGTTATAACAATAAAGTACCTTTTTTTGTAGAATTATCTCTCTATGATAGTCGTAATCAAATATTAATTGGTAAAAGATAGATTGCGTATAAAGATAAAATATTGAAATATTTATGGTAATTCTTATTAGTTTCATGCACATACTTAATTTGAAATATGAATATTTAAGAGAAAAAAATTATACTTAATTGGTGTCCATCATTTATGTTCATAACTTCAAGAGGAAAGACTATTGGTGACATTTTTTGTATTGATATTTTGTTTTAAAACTTTGTTGGTTAGATTTGTTTACAAAATTGAGTTATGTAAATAATAATACTACTAAAGAAATGTCACTTTATCCCCATATTTGAAATTTGAATGTATTTTGAAATGTTTCAAAAATATCTGGTCATTTTGATCTCAAAATACAAGTAACTCTATAACAATATGTATTAATCATTTTAAAGCATTTGTCCTATGTTTTTGAAGTTATAATTATTTACTAAAAATAATTAATTTAATACCATTAATTCTATTTTACAACATCGTATACTATATATACTATACACACGTGCCGTGAAACTAGTATATATATATATATATATATAGATACTTGGTGGTTCGTATATTATTTAGAATATTAACATTATAATGGGAAGAGTTGATATTAAATGACAAAAAAACTCTTAAAATAAACAATCCCTCCCATATTATTTATTGCAAAAACAATTCCACAATGTATAACTAATTGTTCGTTAAACCAAATGAAACAATGAAATACACACAAGTGAAAGGAAAACGTCTTAAATATATAACCTTTTTTTTTTCTCTGTTTGGTTTGAATAATAGGTTGAAAATATTTTTTTTTAAAAAATCAAGTTTTGAAATTATGTTTAATGATAATTTGGTATAAAAAAAATAACCTTTATATAAAACTTTGAATTTTTTTTCTCAGGCTGTTGAAAAACAAGAACTAACAGTTGTTCTTCTTTATTTATATAAAAAATATAGTAACGGTTCATTAGTTTTGTATTTTCCTTCTACTTTTCCCCCAAATATATGGCGTGCTTCTGTACATGTTTTGCGCGAACAGAATTTAGGCGTCCAAATTTACTCTATTTCGGTCCATCATTATCAAAATGACTCCACCTTTTCTTGGTATTTGCGGGATGATGAATCCGGCGGGAACAAAATTGTATGTAATTTTGATTCATCTTTTGTTGAGGCAAGGGCAAGGGTTAGGGTTTGTGAATGTTATTTTTAAGTTTGTGAAAGTTTTAGTTCGCAAATTATTTCCATGTTAAATTCAATCTTAAGAATATGAAAGGGTTGAAGAATTTTGTCCTTGTAGTATTTATTTCATGTTCAAGAGTCAATCTTAAGAATATCATGTGATTTATGCTTGTGCTGCAAATCTTTTTAACCTAGTTGCTAGAGGAATATTCACATACTCATCTTCTTTGTGTCACTTTTCTTTTTTAAGTTCAAGTGATGAGGGGTCCAGGCAGAGTAGGAAGGAAAGATAGGGGAGCTCCGGCTGGAAATTTAACCCTATGCAACTAGGCATTTGGAACGACATCTATTAAAGTGATTTTTTTTTATAATGAGAAGAACACATAGTCCATAATTTATACTACATCTCCTTGTTTGGAATATCATAATTGGGTAGTAGTTCTACAAGATTAATGTTCCTTATGTAATCAGTTTTCCTTTTCTTTTTCCCACTCAATAATCTTTTCTCTTCTGTCTGTTTAGTGTAGATGAGGAGGGAGCGTGCCATTGATGAAAGATGAGAACATGGTCAATGCGCGGCCTGGTTGATAGCTTGGAACGAAATGTCCTGCTCCTCTTACCGTCACAAATGTCAAGTTCTGGTATTCTACTGCATAACCACCAACCTAGAAAGGAAAAGGATTATATGAGATAATTAATTTATGCACATACATGATATTCTGAAAATAGACATTGTACATAGAGTTGAAGAATAATGACAACTTTGTTACCTCGCCTTGGAAGAACCAAGGGTACCATGGTGTTTTGACTGGTGTTTTTATTTTGTCTATGGCATATGTACTTGTCGTCACAGATAACACATGATCTATGTCTCCACTGAAATTGTTAAAAAGAAAAGTCTTAAGAAAATGTTAATTGTTTTGAAATCACAAATTCTGAATTGTTTCTGATGACTGCTTCCTTGCTTGATTTACTTACCTATAAATCCAAACCCTAATGCCACTTTGCATGAGCTCTTGAAAGACTGTTAGAACAGAATGCGGGGAGTCCTGCCAAGAGCCGAATATGAAACCACTGCACAAGTGAGAAATGAAGAAATTGAAATTAATCCCCAAAAGATAATAATAAGCCTCAAGAATGAAAATGTTTTAGAGAACCCAATGTATTACTTGCAGGAATCCCAGGAATAGGGTGTATCTTTGACATTAAGGGCCTTTTGTACTTCAGCACTATTTAGGTAATTGTCAACGTAATCAGCTGAGCATGGATCAAATCCATCTATCTGTTATACACAAAAGAAAAAGTTGCCATCACAAAATTTAATAGAAGTATGTAAAATCTACAGAGAGGTGACTGGTGAGCGTATTGGGGCGTAGAATGTTGTTGTGCATGGTCTTTTTTTTTTCCTCACCGTGATCGTCACCTTAATTTGGGCACTGCAAATATTTCTTTTTTCCTCAATAATGAATGAGCAGTTAGCCAGTGGAACTTACAGGAAGGGAAGTATAGACAGAGGAGTTGCACAGTTGGGAATATGTGTTGTAAGCATATATATTGCTTTGAGATGAATCTGCTTGCTTAATGTACTCATTACATGCTTTTGAGGTTGTCTCTGCCAAGAAGTTGCAATTCAAGACAATTCCATCATGGACTTCATCTGATATTAGAGCATGGGTCCAATAAAAGTCGTATGTACCACTGTTCATTGTTTCATCATCGATGATGCCATTTCCAGTCTGAAATCCATGCCATATGCATGCAAGTAAGACGCAGACACGACATAACTAGTGACTTAATCATGAGAAAAGTAATTTAGTGACCATTTGAAGCTTAGCTTACTGCTATTCCTTGCAAGTTAATGACAAGGTTTGGTTCTGTTTCCTTGTAGGATAAGATCAGCTGAGCAAGTTGAGGCACATAGTGGCCAGCATAACTCTCTCCAGTAATATAGAAATCTCGGTGTTTATATTCTGGGAATCTTTCCATCCAATTGACGAGAAAGGTGAAACTGTCTTGTCTGGTCTTTTCGTCTCCAGTAGTATAATCTGATGATGTATTAGAATAAGAGAATCCAACTCCAGCAGGTGATTCTAAAAAGAGGATGTTTGCCACTGCATTAATTAACAAAATTGTTGTTAGTATTAATTATTTATGGGTTTTTGATTACTTTCAATTGTGATTACAGATTTTGCAGAAGAGATATGTATAAGTACCATTGTTCCAGGCAAAAGGGTTGAGCCACAAGGTTTTTCCATCTTTATTTACGCGGAATGGTCCAAGTTCCATCATCGCTCCAGCCCCAAATGAAGAGCAACCAGGTCCTGTATATTAAGTATGTATAGAACAACAAAGAAGCATGATAAGTGCGCCAACATAGTTTTAAAAGCAATACCAGAATGAATAGCGCATTAAAGGGACGAACATAATTAGAGTAAACTGTTTGTAGTTTTTGCTTGAAACTAGTGTTAGAAAAGACATTCTTCCTCTTGACAATTGGGGTAACCGTGGGTATGGTGTGTGTATTTACCTCCATTTAGCCACAATACAAGAGGCTTGGTAGAAGGATCTTGAGTTGATTCAGTGAAGTAATAGAACAATGCTCTACCAGCATCAGCATCAACAGTAACATATCCTGAATATTGATCAAAACTCACACCACTAGGTTGCCCTGGCAAAGCTGAGATCTTGTCATCTTCCTTTGATCCTACCTGTGACACAAATGCTGATCTCCGTTTCTCAGCAGCCTCTAGGCCACTGTTAATACTTGGTGTACTTTGCAAGTGATTTGCACGTCGAGCCTTGAGAAATTCCCTTACAACATCTGCTTCTCCTGCATAACATTTTTGGGTGCTAAGGTAGCACAAAATTAGAGAAAGACTTAACTGTAAAACAGAGGTAACTTTCATTTTCTTTCTTTCCATGCAAGAAATAAGAAAGGTTGAGTATTCACTCAACCTGTAAATCTTCTTCATTATTTATAGAGCAAGTAAAATGTTGAGAATGTCATCCTTCTTTTTTTTTTGTGTTAGATTGAAGCCATTGTATTTACATCTTTGTTCTTTGTGCGCATTTGTTATGGAAAATGTTAATAGGATACTTAACAGAAGTAGTATATATTAAGGAAATTGTTGCCTTTTAGTTTCACGTCGTTCTTGATCAGGACAGGAGAAAGGCTGATTGAGAAAAGAGATGACCTCTACCAAGGAGTTAACTATTTGTTGGTTTTCATTTTCAGTTGTTCACAGTTAACCAGTAGCATTGAGTGCTACTCCATCTGTCTAATTAGACTGATTGAATTTATGCATTTGTCTTCTTCAAGGCAACTTCCAAAGTAAGAATTTTCTATCTTCTTTCTTTAGATATTTTCGTTTGAATTTAGTATATTGGATCTACTCTATAAATGAAAAGAGAATTGAGACTCTCTAGCTAGCTCAATCTCTCCCAAATTTAACTCATATGTTGAGAGAGATTAGCATAAGCTGCTGATTGTAGTGCCAAATTAATCAAGGTCCTTTTCATATACTATATGTTGAGCCAAATGTATTAAGCATTAATCTATAGATCCAAACACTAAAGCCACTGGACATAAGCAATTTAATATACATTAGTTGGTAATACTGTTTCTGGAGTGTTCTTCCAGTTTTTTTAATACAATTGGCTGTTGCCTGTTGTGACATGACATCAAACTAACATATACCATATGAACTCATATCATAATTTAGTCTATTGCGTATGAATTCAATATTCTTGCTGAATTGCGCCAGATATGTAGAAATGAATTTAGAGATTTGGGAATCGGAAAATGACGACCTTGATTAGAGGGGAAAATTGGATGGACGGATTTGGTTAAAGTTGGTGTTGAGTCACATATCGATGGGATGAGATAAATTCTTCTTTTAGATTAGTATTAGTTAGTTTTTTGAAGTTGAATTAGGTTCAAGGATTAATTGTTTCCTGACTCCATGATAAAATAAAAATAAAAAACTCGATCATGAAACAATACTTTGATCAATAAAATATGTCCAACTATTAGAATGAGTTCCAATAAGGCCAATCCCCAAATGCTAAAAATGATTGGCAAAGAACATATTCAACAAAGCAAAAGCTCTACGTGGTTGAAATTGTGGAACTTGATGCCCTGCTCCCCTAACTGTTGCAAAAGCTAATCCATCATACACCACCATATATCCAGCTACCTGCAAAAAATTAAATTATACGTACAAACCACCCTTTAAATTAACAAAAAAGAAAAATAAATTAAATAGTTCATAACATTTATTTTTACATATACAAAAAGAATTAATTAGATACTAGGTGATGTTCTTCCCATTTGACGTTGGTGGGAGGTGACAAGTATTCCATAGAATTAGTCGTGGTGTGTGAAAATTGGCCTGGACACCATGGCGATAAGAAGAACTTACTTCTTTTGTATCATCATGCCAAACATGCCAAGGCTTGATGACTGTAAGGTTCATAGCACTAATGCCATAACGAGTTGAAGTTACTGAAACTACTGCATCTACATCTCCACTGTTTCCACACAAAATAAATAAAGTAGTATTATAAGCATAAACTAATTAAAAACGATTATTTATAAGCTAATCCAATAATTCATTACATTTACCTGAAAAGAAGTATCCTGAGACCAGATGCAATTAGTCTATTGTATATTGGAAACATACTTGATGGACTATCCTTCCAATTCAGAGCACTAACATGTACCAAATGAAAGAGAAAAAAAATCATATCATATATGTAAAAATGTTTTAACGTATATACACTGACAGTGTAAGTAAATACCTGCAAGGTTGCCAAGGGTTAGGAAGGTTGTTGAGGCTGGCATGCAAGGCCTTTTGAACTTGAGGAAGATTGAGATAATCGCTAACATAATGTTGTTCACAAGGGTCATATCCATTTTTCTTGAATACTCTTCTTGTTGATGATGATGATGAATCATCGTAATCAAGGGGACAAATGGGACCATAGATGTTGTAAGGATCTATGTTTCCAAACTCAGTTTGAGCTGTGCTTTGAAATTGTTCACATGTTTTTGTCTCAGTTTGGGTTTTGCAATGTTGTTGGATGCCTAAATGAGTCTCGTCTGATATTAGTGCATGACTCCATAAATAATCAAATTGCCCTTTCTCGTCTGTTACATCGTTCATTATACCATTTCCTATCTGCATCCATACAATTAATTGTTTTCTCCAATTAATTTATTTAGTTTTCAAACAAATAATATTCCATGCTTGTTATTCTTTTCTTGTAGAAACAAATAAATGATCAAATAATAGACCATATTTTGTCGACATTTTTCATGGCACAAGTTGTGGGTGGGGCAAAAATTATGTGTAGTGTTATATGGGTAATAGGGTCGGTTCAAAGAAATTGATAGTCTAAAGTTAATTTATTTTATTTTATTTATTTATTTATCTTATTTTATTTTATGTGTGTTAGTTTGATTAAACATGAAATTTAATTTAAAAAATTAAAAATAAATTGGATATATATTCTATTCTTAAATTAAACTTTTAATACATAACCAACCCCTTAAGTTTATCAGGATGTTTTATTTAGACACTTAAACTAAGTCTAGTTCAAATTTTGGAAAAAATAATAATCTTATATATTCTCCTTCGTCTATTATTAAATAGTTAATCATATAAAATATGTTAATATTTCTTTTAATTATATGTCTTGCCTCAATAAACTTTAAAACCCCAGAAATTTTCTATTTTAAATTGATGCGTATAATAAAAGGAGATGAAAATTTTTCAATTTCTGGCATGCATGTAGTTTGTGGTGGTTTTTAATTAATTGGTCATGGATGTAGAATCCTGTGAGCCAATCCAATCCAGTCTGAGGTATACCGTTTACAAGTTATATACATATGATAACATATATATATATAAAAAAATAAAAGAAAGGGTGAAGAATATTAAAATGAAAATATTACCATTATTCCTTTGAGTTGGATGTTGAAGTTTGTGTTGGTTAGCATGTTGCTCTTGACAATGATGTCTGCTAGCTCTGGCACGTAGAATCCTGTCATCTACCAATATTAGCTGTCTAATTGACCACTCTCTTAAATAATAATAGTTGTATAACATATATAGCCAAAATTTTCAATCAAAATGTCTATTTCTGCTTTGAGAAGAGGACATAACTATATTGTATAGTATGTGATTCAATTATATAAATGCTCAGACAATTGTCTCTGATAAAGTGGTCCTTAATTCTTACAAATTTAACATCTTATTTGACACAAACCAATCATGGGCTCTCACTACTAGAACCATCGATCCAATACTATCTTCTTCTTTTTAATTTTCTACTCCCTCCGTTCGAATTTACTTGTCAAATATTTTCTAATTTAATTTCTACTTTTACTTGTCATATTTGACAAAATCAAGAGAAGACCAAAATTATTTCCCTATTGCCCTTAATTTATTAACATTGAAAAATATGTTTGGGACACTATCAATCACTTAATAGCTAGGGATAAAATAGTAAATTCATTGTATCAATTATTATTTTTCTTAATAAGTGTGTCAAGACAAAATTTGACAAGTAAATCTAAACAGATGGATGGAGTAGTTAGTACTCCTCCCTTTTTAATTTGTTTTGTTTATTCTGACTTGATATGGAATTTGAGAAAATAAAAAAGACTTGAATATTATGGTTTTAAATTAAAAATATATCAAATTATATCATTTAACCTTATAATCTTGAATATGTATGGAAAGTTGAAATTAAAAGGTTGTCAAACACATTTTATTTTAAACAGACTAAAAGAAAAGTAGGACAAATAAATTGAAACGGAGGGAGTAGTAAATATACCTGCATAACTTTCTCCCATGATGTAGAAATCCCTGCTTTTGTAATGTGGAAACCTCTTGAACCAATTCACTAGAAACCTATATGCATCTTGAGCTGTCACACAATGACATAGTTTGTAAGTGTTATGATTTAGACTGTCAAATTAATATTTTAAAATCAAATAATTAGTATTATTTGAAGATTAAGGTTGGATGTGTAGTGTACCAGTCCTCTTGTCGCCTGATTGTGCATAATCTGAGCTAGTATTGGAATAGGAGAAGCCAACCCCTGCTGGTGACTCCAGGAACATTACATTTGCAACTGTATAAGAAAAACATATTTAAAAATTAACAAACATAAATTCAATAAAATATAAAATTCATCTGATATTACATCAATAAAATATTTTTAAAAAGTTATCAGATAATCGGTGGTGATGGTGATGTTGATGGCTTATGGCGGTAGTTGTGGGTGTCGATTGGAGAGGGTGTTGGCTAATAAAGATGTCATGGTGGGTACATAGTAATTAGTGATGATATGGTGGTTTATAGATGCGGTGAATGATAGTGATATGTAGCAATGATTGTGATGGTGAATGATGATTGTGGTTGATGATATATAGTCATGACTAATGATAGTGATTGATGGTAACGATTGACAATAGTAATGATAGTGATTGATTGTAATGATAGACAATAATAATGATTGTGACTGATAATTAATAATGGTAAATAGGATTGATTACCTTTGTTCCAAGAAAATGTTCTGGAATAAAGGGTTTTACCATCAGGTTTTACACCAAAAGGCCCAAGCTCTTGCATGGCCCCAAATCCTAATGATGAACATCCTGGACCTGCAAGTGCAAGTGCAACCCAATAATGTTGTTCATCCAATTATAGCCATACAAAATTATGACTCTTATCTTCATACTAACCAATACTCCCTCCGGTCCATATTAAGTGAATTTGTGATGCAATACGCATCATTACAGAAAAATAAATTAGGACATGATTGTACACCGCTTTCTATTTTACCTTTTTAGTTATTCTCAATCTATTCTTGAAAATAAAAATAATTTCAAGTATAATCATAAGTATGACCGTATAAACAATTAACTTTCTTGAACTTATTATCATATAGAAAATAAAAATGATGATAAAAAATGAAAGAAATTTTCAACAACTCTCTTCAACATTGAATATAATTTATTTATTTTGAACATCGAAGAAAAGCTCAAAATACTTATGAAGTACTAGAGGAAGTATTTTTTTTTTCACTTTCACTTTAAAAAAGAACAAAAAGAAATAAAAGAAGAGAACAATACGAATAAAGCTACCAATAATTCGCAAGTTTACGTCCCCACTTATTTACTCCATCTGTGTTTGTTCCTCGGACTATTAAATACCTTTTCGACAATTAAATGGTCATGTATCCCCTCTTAGTAATCAAATTCCAAATGAATAATTACAAAAAAAAAAATAATCAAATTTATCCTAATCTAACAAACGATCTGAACAAATTTCTAAAAGATCTTCATACTTCCTAATTAATATTGAAGATAAATAAAGGATAATTTAATTAGTCAAATAACTCTCTTCTCTAATCTTATTATATATGATTTTTCTTATTGAACATGTCGATTGTCATACCCTTAGAATTACTTATTCTGAACGGGATTGAGGTTTGTGAAAAAAAAAATTAAGTATTAATTTTCAGGTTAAAATAAAGTATTAAGTCCCACAAAAGATAATTATCCCTCAGAATGGATTAGTCAGCTGAAAAATAATGTTAGTCACTTGATAAACTGATGACACATTTCTATTTAAAAGGTATATTTTACCCTTAATTGATAGTCAAACTAACACATATAAAATTACGCACCACCATATATATATATATATATATATATATATAAAAGTTAAATCCTTAATACTACTAGTAGTCAACTAAAATGCAGTAGATATATGTGCATGCACACTACAGAAATGGAAATATGAAACAAAAACAAACATAAAAGAACTAGAAGTCATTCCACTGCCAAAAAAAAGAAAAGAAAAATTATCGACAGACTAAATTTCATAGCTAAATAGTAAAATCTAGTTATGAGTAATTCCACGACGAAGATAAGAAAGAGAAAATGATCAAAACATCACCTCCATTTAGCCAAAGAACAAGTGGTTTAGAAGAAGCATTTCCAGAAGCAGATTCAGCAAAGTAATAAAAAAGTCTTCTTCCATTTTTTTCATCAACATTAACATAACCTGCATACTGATTAAACTTCACATTTAATTTTGGCTGTCCAGGAAGACCATCTTTTATCAAATCATCCTCCATATTTCCAACATGTAATTGTTCTTCTTCATCAGAATCAAATACCAATTTTTCAGTCGACCATGTTTCATCCTGATAAGAATTAATCATCCGAGAACGTATTTTCGAACGACGCCACAACATTAATGTACGTGCCTGATTATCAATTTGGAAGCCATGGACTGTTAGACCATGAAAAATTAATGTTACAAGAAAAAAGAAGTTCAATTTTGTGAGGAACATGTATTTCATGTGTTGCTTCTCCATTATTTTGTGTTTAGTGACACTATGGTTATTTATATATTATAAGGAGATATATTTGGACGAGTATGAATTATTTGAGGTTAAGTTTGTCTTTTCCACAGAAACTTTATAAAAATGGATAATCATATCTTATCTTTAACTCAATTATTATTCAAGATGCTCTTCATTGCAATCTCATATATATAATATATGTAACCACTCACTTGTTGCTAATTCCAAAAAAAAACATACTAGTACCTACGTCATAAACCATAATGCCAGCTCATCTATTTGCAATATATATATATCGAGTTTAACATTTATATAAGTAATAACTAATTATTCATAAAAAGTAAAATTGTAAGTTAAGAATAAAACAGTTATTCGATGCAACATGTTCAAACATTTTAATATTGTAAAAAGAGTTACGTTGTAATACTCGATAATTTATAAATTCAATATTTCCACGAAATACTGGATTGTGAAAAATATCGATAATTTTATATTTGCCTAAATAGCCCTCGTTGATTTGTCAGATCTCTTTTGTTACTAAATTCCAAGATTATCTGGGAGAAAGGATGACCAAATAATCAAAGAGTTGATTTATTCGACTTAGTTATATCAAAGTCGTAAAGCTATATCGCAAATGGAATAACAATTTTGCTTGGAAGATTTCTTTCGTTAGTTTTAATCACTTCCAATAATTGAAATTTTTTGTTTCACGTAATCATAAATCTTTTGAATAATATTTTTGTAAATATTTTAAAAAAGAAATGCGCGATAAGGGCTAGGGGGTAAAAACAAAAACTTGATCATGCATCTCTATTTATATGTTCAAAACTGATTGCATAATGTTAGAGAGTTCGATTAAGTGTGCGTTTGAACATAAGAATTCTGAGATTTAGACAAAAGTAGTATGTAATTGTATTCAAGTTGAAAATGATATTTGAAATTTAAGTTATTTTTAAATTGTTGCGAGTGATTTAGAGTGACAATTGTGAAAACAGTATGAAGTTTTCAAATTGGAAAAATCTTTTTGGCCAGAATTTGACCAGAATGATATTTTATCTATGTTATTTTACCTTTTTAAATATTTTTACCCTTTTAACTTTAATACCTTTTAACAAAAAAATGGAAAAAAGATCAGTTTATTTTAAAATTAAAAAAAATATTATAATTTTTTTAATTTTCTGACCAATTTTTTTGATCATTTAGCACTTTCCTTTCAAATTAACAATTTTATGTTCAAACAGATTTTTAGAATAAAATTCCGGAAAGAAGTGAACTATCCATTGGTAAACGGGACCTAAATGTGACACGAGTGTGATTTTCAACATCAACTTTTGCTTTTCTATGTGGGGTAGGTAGAAAGATAAGTCTACCATGTAAACGAATTAAAGAATTATTTGTAATGATGACTTCTATTAATCCAATTTTGACCCATACAAGATAGTGGGACTAGGTAGTCGTACTTGGCTATTGATGGACACTTGACCAATTATTTGCTCCACAATGTTAATACAAGCAAAAATACAATTTTCTATCAAGTGTCTCCTTTTGTGGAATTCATATTTCTTTTCTCAATCATTAGGCATTTCTGGCACATAACCTCCTTAACAGTCCATACAAATACAATGAAACACAGAGAGGTGAAGAGAAATAAAATATGTGTTCTATACCTGCTTTAGAGTCGACTAATTTGAATTCATGAAGTCCCACTTTTAGGGTAAAATGTGTCAGACAAAAGACCAACAAACTCTAGACTTCTGATTACTAATTAAGAATGAAAGAATATTTCTCATCCACTACAACCTCTTTTAACGATGGAGGGTTTCTACTCTCACTTTGGGGCTAAAGCACTCCATAAAAGAGAGTGATTGCTTACCTTCCCTATCAGAATCTTTTGATGGTGCATGCAGGGGCTATTTGGTAGTTTCACCCTTTTGAGTCACAAGGGAAAACGATATAGGCAAGGACTTAAACTGAAGTGTATTGATTTCGATAAAAGAAATGCATATCAGCTGAAGATACAGATCCTATTTCATTGCTCATTTCTCCAATTAATCGATCATGTTCAAAGGCCCATCGATAAAAGAACAAATCGAAAAAACATGCCTCTGATGAATACTGATCTTATTATATAGTCTCGTAGTTCTAACCATTTCTAGCTTCTGTACCAGTACCACACTGATGCAAGTACTACGACTAATCGGTTATGGTCCTAAACACGTTTCTGACCTATATCTCAATAAGCACCAAACTAATAAAAAGTAGTCCATTGCCAAATCATTTCTAGTCTCACATAGTATATCAAATACTAGGATTGATATATTGGAGAACTTACAGCTATTTGTGATTCTGCATGAAAGTTCCCTCATTTCTTGATCCTAGGCAGTTTGTGAAGGCTATAAGAAAAATATAAAGTCAGACATCAACATAAGTTTAAAAGGCAGCAGAAATCGAAACAAGTTTTCACCAATCATCATAGCTCACATCTCTAGGTATAACGTTTCACATATCTTGGACTCACTAAGCATAAATCAAATCCAGCTACAAAATTCTCATCAAACACTATATGCTTTAATCTTTTAAGTCGATTTAAATTCAAAGAAAAAAGAGTGTTTTGGCAATGTCTCCTTTAGCAGCGGTTGACTACAGTTTAGCTAACAGGCTGCTGATTCCCGTAGCCATTAGAGGCTGCTCCAGCAGCATACATGCCAGAATCCTGATTTTGTGATGCGCCGTATCCATATCCTCCATAATTTTGCCTTCCATAATAGCCGCCCCCATTACCAGAATCAGTTCTCATCTGCAAAAGTAGAGACAAGTAAACAGGTTATAGAAGAAGATAATTTACCACAGGAACAAAACACGACTGAATATTGCAGCCTGCAAAAGCTTCAATAGATCCAATACAAAAGACAACTAACTAGGAGAGCATACAGAATATAGATGAACTGAAATTTGCCATTGGACTCTTGAAGTTCCAATTACCCAAAAAAAAAAACAGAAGGATTAAGACGAATGAAACAGGAGTAGCAATCAAGAAATTTATCAATAACATCCAAAACTATTCAAATTGGCCAAAAATTTCATATTCAGAAAAGATTTACCATTAGAAATCTTTTGTAAAAGTATCAAGCCCCAATGTAAAAGATTTGATCATATTGGAAAGGGGTCGACTTCTAAAGCGACATGTAAACAAAACCATCTAAAGATTTCAAACAAGGGACTAAATATGTGAAGGAGAAAAGCTTCTGTAGAACATTCAATATAGACGAAGGTCGACATTTGAAAGGTAGAATTGTAAAAGATTCGATCATTTTCGCAAAGGGACAACTTTTAAAAGGCTGCAGACTGACATTTAATTGTTTTATTGAGAAGCCAGCTAATATCTCTTTTTTAAAAAACTATTTTGATCAGACAGAGTTGATATTGTTTGTATAGAATATTGATGTGGGAAATACCTGCTTGTTTGCTGGACTTCGCCCCCAGGAAAGACGAACTGCCTGCTTTCCAATTATAGCCCCACTTAATTTTTGTATCGCCTCCTGAGCAGAGCTCCTACAAAACATAAAAACTCAGTATGTCTGTCAAGCATGCTGCCTTTTCTTCTTATTTTTGTTTCTGCGGGACAAGATTCATCTGAATAATTGCATCAAGAAGGTACTGATTTGTACAGCAAAAAGACCTTTTAATCCGATAAACATGTAGGGAATTCAATAAAAATATTTACATCTTGATTGTACAGCAACTTGCACCAAGAAAATATATCATATTCTGGGTGCTGCATTTCAAAACTTCAGAATAAGACTACACTATTTTATACTATAGCAATAACCTAAAACTTTGCATCTTTTTTTTTTTTTATAACCGTAGTGTTTGGTGTTCAGATTAGCTTGTGCGCACCTCGACTAAACACACAGCTTTAAAAAAAATAAGTATGCTAGGTTAAAACCATGGACCAAAAGGAAACAAATCTAAACTTCACTATCTTATTCGTTATCAACTTATCAAAAATCTGAGACTAATACTCTGCCCATAAGCGGCAGGTGTTACACGACATATTATTCTCAAATCAGTATTTATGTTCACTCTTGGGCAATTTCTCAAGAATCATAAACCAAACCAAATAACAAAGGTCCTTAAACTTAAAGAACTCATATTTTAACTCAATATCTTGAATTAATCCAATTACTTAAATGGTAAACTATCAAATGAGATTAAATGACAAAAAATACTGAAGTTATCTACCAATCAATGTCCATGCCTCAAGACTCGTAGCATCACTTCTCTAAGTTTCTCAGAAAATGATGCGTAAAATAATTCACTACTAATCACCACCTTGCATTTCAAGTCAAGCATTACAGAATTTTACCTGTCCGAAAATTGTACAAAACCACATCCTTTTCCGGCAGGTATTTTCACAGAGACCACTTCCCCAAACTGAGTAAAGGACTGCCTCAGTTCATCGTCAGTGACATCAGAATCAAGTCCTCCAACAAAAATCTACCATAAAGAAAAAGTTAGACCAACTAACTATTTTTCTACAAGTATTAGTTGAATTGGGAGTTACTCCAATTAACTAACTTATGACCAACTTCCACAAGAAAATGGAGCACTTACTGTCGTGTTTGATGAATCACCATCAGACTGGGATCCATGGGTTGCAGAACCATTTGATGCATATCCACCAGATAATATCACAGCTGAACAAAAAGAATAAGCAGTTCTGGCCTCAATAAAAAGTTGAACATGACATCTAAAATTTGATGCAAACAACTGCTAGCACATACGTAAGAAATAACTGGTCACAATAAACCACAACAAGAAAACCAAGCTCAATAAATCTAGCAAAATTTGGTGCATCCAGGATAAAAATAGCAAGCATGCTTTGCACCTAACTTGTTCAGCCAGGTAGAAAAGTTGATGCTGTCTTTGCTCTAAACAACACATCCACTACGTTTGTCAAGCTTCAATTTGGCTAAATTCTGGATTTAACTAGAAAATGATTAATTGTTTTATGTTTCTTTTGTTATTTGTCATTTTTTTGTTTCGGAAGATAAAATTCAAAAATTTAGGAAGTAACCAAAGGGTTCTAAATGATGCAATAAATACTAAATAACCGTTTCAAAAGCTTTGGTTAGAAATAAGACCATTTGAATCTTGAAAGAGGAGGTCATTAGTATGAATACAAAAGCATAAACAACATACACTGTTGGTCATCTGATGCCAGTATATTTAGTTTACTAGTAAATGACTTGCAGCAGAACAAGTCAACAAGGTGCAATATTACATACCCTGAGAAGAAAATTGTTGTTGTGCTGATGGTTTCTTTGGGGTAGCAACACCAACACGCATGGGCCTGCTGGAACAATATATACCATTCATTTCAGTCATGGCCTGAGACCTCTCGCTTTCATCACCAAACCTTACAAAGCCATAGCCTTTTGAGTGGCCTGTGTTTGCATCTACTACTACTTTTGCACCTTTAACAGATGGAAATCTACTAGCGAATGTGTCACGTAACATTGTGTCAGTAACATCAGAAGCCAAATCACCTACAAAAATTGAGAAATCAGAACCAGTTTCTGCACGCTTTTCACCAGCGCTAAAGGCTGCCCAATTTAAGCGGAAAGGTTGCTCAGCATTTGGCATCATTGTGCCATTGTAGCTCTGTAGCAGTTTTTCCGCTGCTGCATGAGTATTGAACTCAACAAATCCGTAACGCTCTGATTGACCAGTTTGCTTGTTTCGAATAATTTTCACAGAAATAACCTGCATGATTTCATGGTCAAGTACTATCACAGAGTGCACGCTTAAATTGGAAACCAAATAATCAATTCTTGTAGACTATACTAGTATCGATGTATAAGCTTGAAAAAGATATTCTTGAGATAATTTTATTTCAATTTTTAACTACAAAAGAAAGGGTTTCCCACATATATACAGTCTAAGGCAAAGGAATTCCAAACTAAAATTGCTAGAATTATTCAATCAAATGTGGTCGGTCCAACTTGGAGTCCAGCGGCAGCTCTAGTCTCTGTTTTGAGGACGGAAAAGCATCTCTCCATCCTCGCTACTCCATTCTCTAGTGTTTTGCCATCGAACAAAACTGTAAGATTAAAGTATCTTGCTTCAAGTTTTAATATCCGTAATTTTCCTCGAATATTCATTAGTTCTTTTCTTAGAAGAAAAGAAAATCAGTTGATTTTCTCAGCAATTACATAACAGTCCATGTGCATCTTTGGTTCTTTTGTAGTCGTATAATCTTCTAATCGTACAATCTTATTGGAAATTAGTGTGAAAGTTCTTTTTTTTTGGGGGTGGGCGGGTGGGGGATAGGGTAAAATAATATTATTGATGATGGGAAGAAAAAACCTAGAATACAAGTACAAATGACATACCAAAAAATAGAGAATCTACAAAGAAATATGATTATTTATGGAAGACACCCACAATCTTCTATATTGGAATCTCATATGGGTGCTCCAAAAAGAATAAAGGGCATGTTATTCCTCAAAGATAGAAACCAATTGATGTCAAAGCTTAACTAGAAATACAGGTTCAAATAAAAAGGAAACTGAAGCGAGACGGATATTCTCCAATTCTGCTGAGAAAAAAGTGAGAACTTATGAAGCACCAACACTAAATCTGAAGCCGTGTACCGGAGAGAGGAGACCGACATTAGATACTCAGGACACAGGCTGGGGCTTTTTTTTATCTATGAAAGCAGGGAGTTGGAAGCCCCTCTGGGTATCGCAACTAGGACTAGGACTCGTCCATTGCAGTTTTAGCTTCTTGACCAAATAATTTTTTCCTAGGCGCTACCACTCCACATGGCTGGCAATTTTTTGTTCTAGTCACGAGAATTCTCATGAAGCTAACGATACTTTGTCATTCTAGTTAAATTTATCATTTCTACTAACTCAACCCCCCAAATTTGAGACCAAGGTGAATCTCTGCGATAACCTGAAGTGAGTTAAATTCTGTACTTGACCAAAAAAAATTTAGTATGTAAGAATGAGAAGTTAAAAGGCATGAAAACTTTATTTTATGTATAGTCGAATGCATTTAAAATCGTTCTTATCCCCCGACATTTCCCTGGGGGAGAGTGGAGACCATTTTAGCTTAACAAACACGAAATCAATAATCATTTCCCGGGAATTATCTGCTCTTTCAGATGTCCAAAAGGTAAAAACCCCTAATCAAAACAGAAGAGACAAGATCCCAAAAGTTCTCTTCAGAATCTCTGCATTGACTGAGATCTCAGTAAGGTCAAATCGTGTTCGCAGCTTAATACCCAAGGTAACTACTTCTTAACTATGCTACTACAAGTTTCTAATGTTTCCCATCTCAATTAAGTGAACAAAATTGTTAAGAGCAATTGAATCAGCAATTTAAGTCGAGACAAATACAAGTAACGAGTAGAGCTAAATGAATATATAAATCAAACCTCGCCAGCATGAGAAAAGCATGAATGAAGATAATTCTCATCCATCCACTGTTGAAGATCACCAATCCAGATCGTTTTGTTATCTTCAGATGAGTTCTGAATCTGAGTCGGCGGCTGCTGCATCTTCTGCTGCTGTTGCTGTTGATGGTAGTAAGGCATGTATTGCTGACCATACATCATCTGTTGCTGCATAGCCATTGCTGCTGCTGGATACTGCATCGCCATCCATTGTTGCTGATACTGCTGCATCGCCACCCACTGTTGCTGCTGTTGCTGCTGTTGCTGTTGTTGCTGCTGATTCAAATCTCCACCGTTCATTTTTCCACTCAAATTTTACTCCTTCTTCCTCTCTCTCTCCAACTCACTTTCTCTCTCTAGTTGCTTCAAGGTTTTCGCAATGGAGTTTAGAGAGAGAATGGAATGAGCAAAGATGAATTTTGGTCACGAGAGAGAGGAAGAAGAAAAGAAGGAGACTAGTTGATAGTCGGCTTGCTATTATATAAGGAAGAGAGATTCAGATACGCTATACGGGATCTAGGGTCTCTATCTATCTCGTCTGTAACGACGTTCAATTTTGTCCGTCCGATTAATTTAATAGTAGCCGTCGATGAATAAGTTTAGAGACAAGTTGGTTGTGGGACCAGCTGATACGCGGTGGTGAGTGTGGGTCCCCTCCCTTGTCGTTGAAGTCAAAACACAAATCGGCGGTTCGTGACGGCAACCGTGTCCACTTCCAGCTGACGTTAAATTGGTGGAGGGACTAAATACATTTAACGGTTTCAATAGATTATATCGTTTTTTATCGTTATAGAATATTATTTTATCAAACGGGTTGAATGATAATCACACAGATTACGTACTAAAAGATAGGTAATAAAATAAGCTTATTAAGTAATATGTAAAAATAAATTAATGAGAAAATGTTAAGCTAACGATTCGATTGCAATGAATGAATAAGATTCAACGAAGTAATAACAAATTTATAACGATATAATAAAATTTAAACAATAACCAAAACAAACATGAAATTTAAAATAACAATACAATACAATACTCCATCCAGAGGCAGAGATAGATGGGGGTTTGTGGGTTCGGACGAATCAATAGTTTTTCCTTAGAGCCTGTATTTGTACTAGAAAATTAATTAAATATATGTGTATATTAATTTGTGAACCCTAATAAAATTGATTGGCGATTCTAAAGGAAATTTAAAACCCCCAAACTCTTTATATTGACTCCGCTTCTGACTCCATCCGTCTAAAATTGTACTTGGTACTCCCTCCATTTCAAATTAATTAAATTGTTGAGTCATTTTTTACTTTTCAGATTAATTTAATTGTTCAATTTTCAAGACTACTTTTAAAATGTTCTTCCAATTTTACCCTTTATTAGTTAGTATTGGAATCAATTATTAATTAATGTTTAGTTACTTTAATAATAATTTATAAGGGTAAAAATGAAAAATTATGTCTATTTTATGTCTTAATCTTCTTTTCTTAAAGGGTGTGAAACATCTCAACAATTTAATTAATTTGAAATGGAGGGAGTACTTTATTTTACCCTCTTTAAGAAATATGTTAATTAGAAAAGATATTTAATTTTTTTTTATCCTTATTTATATTTAAATTATAATATCTTTATTATATGTTTATTTTTTTTTATGTGTTATCTTAATTAATGACAATAATCTACAATGGTAAAATGGGAAAAATTAATTAATTCTGCCTTAAATTTCTAAAAAAAAATGTTTTCATATAATTATTTTTAACAGCCACGATAGATAATTTAATATGGAAAAGTATTTAATTAAAACATCAATTAATTGGGTAGTTTTAGTAGTAAATTAGTACTCCTTTCGTTCCTATTTATATATTACCATTTTAGATTTCACGTTCGAAACTATGTAAATTTACTATTGTAGCCTTATTTAGTATTCTCTTGAAGTCAAGTTTTCAATAAATGAACATAAATTAATTTATTTTATTAATTAAATTGATCGATGAACATGAGTTAATCATTTAGTTTTTCTATATTAGTCAAATTCATATTTTCAAGGCTAATAAATCTTCAGGGTAGAAATAGAAAGAATAGTGTTATTTATGTGTTGATTTTGTAAAATAACAAATACTATTAAGAACATTTATTTTAAGAACGACATATAAATAAGAACGGAAGATTGTGCTAGTTTTTGCCGTTAAGAGGTTGTTTGCATCATGTTGGTTCATGGACAACATGTCGTCTCGTGTTAAGCACATGCTCATCATCTCCCCCATATTGACGTGTGAAGATTGTGCTACATTTTTCCTTTCCGTTCCGTTGATTTAAACGGTGTGAACACCTTTCTATTTTTTAGACCTTTTTTTTTTTAATTGCAACTTGGAAGTAGTGTACTATAAACTTGTGAATTGTTGACCTAGCTAACAAAAGGCTGCTGATTACATTAGAATGCATTAAGCTCATTGGAGTAATTTGGATTAAATTGAGGCTTTTAAATTTTACTCCTTAAAATGAAATAGTACGTAGTAAAAACACACGTCAAAGGGGACAAATATTTTTGGAAAATGTTGTTTATCGTACAGATGCAATCATGCAAAAATAGTCCACTTTCTTTGTTAACTGATTTTGGCGATCAAACCGAGAGAAAAGAATATGGAATGATAATTCATTTTAACTACAGCACAAATTACTGTTGTCTGTATGGAATGATAATTCATGTTATTGTTAAGATTGACATTTCTTACTAAACTTATGGTATATGGATCAATTGAATAGTAGTCAATGAAGTAGGTTGAGAACAATGAAATGTCGAATTCAAATCCTAGCAGAGACAAAGTATCAAGTGGTTTCTTTCCATTTGTTCTAGACTTGATAGATAGAGTCACCGGATACCTAATGTTAGTGGCAAATATCCTGCGGAATTAATTGAAGTACTAACCAAGCATTATTTAAGCACCACAAATTTCATCTTTTCTAGTTTAAAAACAAACAAATCTTTTAACTGCTCTCTTCTTCTTCTTCCATTTCACACCATATAAGTTTGGTGGATACAGCATAATTTATGATTTAGTAGCAATAGGTACTAGCATCAAACGAGGGCAATGGATGCTTAAGCATTTGGTTGTGTTGATTTATTGCTTCTCTCCTGGTACATTTTCACCTACTTAATTCACTCATTCTTTACATTGTCTAGATCAAGTAAGCCACACATTTCACTTAATTTGGACAGTCACAATAGTGGGAAGATGCAAGTCAACACTGGATTAAAATAGCAACTACAAATATAGACGGGAATAAATGGTTCAATGTCAAAATTGCTAGTTTCATTCTCAGTCAGCTACCAAAGCCTATTTAACAGGAAGAGCCAAAATTGATTACCTGCAACGAGAGGAACTCGGTAACAACCTGCCTTAGCCAAATCCCGCTAGCTTCTGCTTACACAGAAATAATAAAAGAATAGAGTTAAACAACAGAACACAAGGACTGCACATTTATATTTTGTAATCTGCGTGTAGGAAGCTTTCATAAGGTGTTCCCTTGAGTGCCTTTTCAACATCACTCCAATTTTCAACTTGCAAAGACAGTGGCGCCTTGTGTATCTTCACTTGACGACTATGGAGATCCATTATTGGAACTTTCAGGAAATCTTGCACATCATTCAGCATCTGTGAAAAAATGGCAGGAAGTGGGCATAAAAAACGAACTTCCTCGCAAGAGAACTAAAATATCAAGGATATAGTAGAATATGTAATATCTTACAGTCTGATTTTTTATTATGTCCTCATAGAACAAGATCATATGCCGAGTGCTTTTGAAGTACTCCAAAGCGTTAGCAGTCATGCCTTGTATTTGCTTTAGGTTTGCAATCAGCGTCGTTGTGTTTACTGTAGGCTTGTAACTTGCAAGAATCTCAGCCTGCAAAACGTGATTGCTTAAGACAGCATGGAGACATAAGCATGTGTCTCTACATCATAGGGATCTATCAACTGACCTCCTTGGGAGAATGCACATGAGACTTGTGGGTTCCATTTAACAGCTTAGCATTCTGATCATAGGAATTTGCTAGCATTGAAACCATTCTGCGCAAAAGATTTCTTCTGAAGAGAAAAATTGCAGAAACTCCTCTCCGTTTGAAATACTCAACAATTTCCTCATGATGCTGCAATAGACCCTGTAATAACATGTAAATGTCCATGCAATCCATCATGATCCATAACTACGACAAAGGGAACCAAGCCACCAAGGCGTAAGCTGCTTACAGAGTTTACATGAGCTCTTCACAAGGTAATACTTCATGTAGACCAATTTTTACATGATTTAGTTCTTCATAAGGTGACTATCTTGTAGACCATTTTTGTAATTCCTTCCTACCTAGTTTCAATTGTACATGGGTGGATCAGTGGTAATATAAAATATGGCTTTCTGCAAAATACTATATGTACCTACTAGATCGAACTCGAAATTCTGTTTACTCACTTTTGAATCGAATTGAGATTACAAAAGGTTTTCTACAAAACACAGCTACTCTCACTACGTAGTTATGCACTCCGGCTACATGCTTAGCAACAGACATGACAAACAGGACTTTGAAGATAGCACTCACCTGATTAAGCATCCACTTCAGACCAACTGCAGTTGTACATTCATTTTTGGAAGCGCTGGTCAAAAAGTCTAGGTCATAGAGTTTGTCCAATGTTTCCAAAATTGTTGATGCATTACTTTACGAACTTTAACAGAAAAAATCTCCCCGTTAGAGCTTATATTCATATGGCTGTTCAACAATGTTTCAAACCATCCACTGCCAGACCTCTGAGTGGAGAAAATTGCAAAAAACCTTACAGGATTGCAAGCACACTCAGCCCTGATACAGCAGCGTTCAGTCGATTGTTTTATCCATAATGAGATACTAAAACATACAAAAAGATTGTCAATGTCTCACTGGCTAAAAGTTTTTGGCTTAGGGAAGTGTATGTAAGGTTTTTCCGAAGGGTCAACATTAGTCATCTCACATGGCCTTTCAACGACATGAACAGTCGCAAGCGGTCCACTGGAACGCGAACCAATTTGTTTCAGACATATTGAACATATATATATTCCACATATCATTGCAAAAAGTAAAACCGCCATTCTCAGCAGCAGTGGAGATTTCTTTGGTGGCTTTAAGATGAAAATATCCTGGAATTGAATCAGAACTTCAAATACTTAGGATCTTAAGTCTCGTTTTTTCAAATTCAAATTTTCCTTCAGCGTCTCAATAAAATAAATTTAGTTGCAAAGTTATTAAAAATAAAAAAAAAAGGAATCTACCAAGGTTTCATCAAATAGGCAAGCAAGATACAAGATAACTAAGAAATAATATGGTTTTATTGAGATCTTACTGCTACTAGGAGCTCAAAATTAGAATCTGTACAAGTCTAACAGTATGTGCTCAAGCAGGAAATTCTCAAATTGAATCCAGTAAACTCTATAGTATTTCAAGGGCTTCATAACCTAGATAAGAGTAACATATATCAGCTAATAGTGCTTCTTCACTACTGCCTCT